TAAAACAGAAGTTAGTGTAGATCACTGCAAGGCCCTTGTCATAGTTTATATCTGTGGCCCCCAGGCCTCGTGAGTTTATATTACGCATTTGTGACTGATTCATTTTTTATCCCTTGGACTGGGGGTGTGAGTGCTACACTGACCTAGGGGTGGAGCCAGGATGTGATGTAATGGCAGAAAGAAGGCCTGTCTTGCTCTTTTGCCTGTTTCCTCCTTGCTGTTTGTAGCAGCCATGAACCTCGGCCCTGCCATGCCAGCCTGCCTTAAAGCCACCTGAGTATGGACTGAAACTTCCAAAAATTGTAAGAAATAAACCTTCCCTTTCCCAACTTCTGGCATCAGGTATTTTGTCTCAGCAAACAGTACAAAATAACTAAGACAACCCTGCTTTCAATTCCTAGAATTCAGTTAAGGAAAAAACAAACAAACAAAAAAACCAAAAAACTGGGAGCAAGGGGAAGGCCTGCAGAGTACCACTGCTTGGGCTTTCTGAAGAGCAATGTGCCCCAAGTACCTTGGGCCTTCACACCTTTCTTTGGCAGTCTGATTTTAAAAAATGATCAGTTCCACGAGGGATGGTGAAAGGAGGACGTTCACCCAAGAATACAAAATCTCAATCACGGTGGAGAAGAAATTTTGAATACTCTACTAAACATTATGGTGCCCACAGTTAATAAGAAGGACAGCTTTCAAAACTGATAACTAATGGGATTTGCAGTCCTAGTAACCGTGAAGGAATTTGTAGATTAGTAAGGTGGTAGGTACATTAACTAGATTGATTCTTAGATTAAAGGCACATTTTTATCCCATAAATATACACAATTATTGAGAATTTCTAAGTAAGGTTAGCCTGTACCTGTACTCCCAGCACTCTTGGAGGACCACAAGTTTAAACACAACCTGTGGAACTGAGTGAATTATTTAGACCCTGTCTCAAATATAAAAAACAAAATAAAAGCAAATTTTAAAAGTGCAGGGTCATACAGCTCATGCAGAAATCCCCAGGATCACTAAACATAGAATATAAACTGCATAATATGAAACTGCATACCTCATACTAGTTTTGTACTATGCAGTTTTAGAGTATATAGTTATATAAATTATACTATAGTATATAAATATACCATAGTTTCATGGTATATAAACTGCATAGTATGAAATCTTTAATCTATTTCTAAGGGTTTTCATATTTTCTTTATTAGTATCTACTTGTGCTACATTAAAATAAGAAGAAAAAGTGTTTGTTCATTTTGTTCTGAGGTAAGGTCCTGCTATGTACTGCAGCCTGACCTTGAACTCACCAAGTATTTCAGGCTAACGTGGCACTCCCTGTTGATGCACCTGTCTAACCCTCCAGAGTGCTGCGATTACATGCATGAACCACCATGCCCAGCAAGAAAATGTTTTTTTAATTTTATTTGAAAGAGAATGAAGCCAAATGAAACAAAACAGAATAGAGACAATCAAAATAAAAAGAAGAATATGGTACATCACTTAAAAACAAAATCCAACAGTAGGTTGTGCGGCCTGTCTCTCAGTCTGCACAGAAAATGACTCAATATCTTTCTGAACTCCAAATTTTACAAGATAATTGGACAAATACCTAGATTTTGAAAGATGTAAACATGGCTTGTTTAGGCACCAGTTCATGTCAAGTGTCAGGGAAAGAACAGAGAACTCTGAATTAGTATTTCCAAATTCTGGAATTTATCCCAAGAAAAAATGATATATGCTCAATGCAATTTTTCTAAGAGGAACTAGACTTTTGTACATGGTCAGTAACAGGATAACTAAGTAAACCTCTACCTATGCATATAATATAAATATTCAACACTATGCAAATATATAAATGATATGAGCAGAACTGGGTAGTAATGGTTAGAGACAGCCGAATATGGACGATGGGTACTCTGTAGCAAGGTTCAATTATGTGGGTGAATTATTTTTATTTGTGGATTTAAATTTTTAAACCCTACTGATCACACTTTGCCTTGTTGTCAAAGCCCCGTGCTGCATTCAGTCTCCTCACAAAACCTAAACACCCAAGAGGCACCAATATTAAAAGAAGCAGAAACCCCTTATCAATGGAAGGGACTTGAGCCAAAGCATGTGCAGGTAGAATAATAACTGCTATCTTACTGTAATATCTTGGTCCTCTCTCAGTCTCTGCAGGGAGGAGCTCGGAATGGAATGAAATCCTCATTTTGGGGGTAAATGTCCTCGGCTCAGCACAGCCAGGCTCAGTGACAGCAGAGGCCATGTGAGACCTGAGCTGCCTCCCGCAGTTCCCAGGCAGGGGCCAGGGACTCCGGATGGCGCGCCAGGCCTGGCTATGCTGACCCCTGAAGGAGAGGAGGGAGGAAGGGAGTGAGGGGCCTTGCGGGCTGAGGCCGGGTCGCCCCCAGAGCCATGCCTGCTGCCCTGGGCCCGCGACCCCGCCAGCAGGACTCCCCGCCGAGGCACCTGCGCCCGCTAACCTCGGGGCCACCGGGCCGCGCCGCCCCTCACAGCCAGCTCCCGCCCGCCTACCTGGCCCAGACCCAGTCCCGGCGCCGCCGCAGGTGAGGCCGCTGAAGAAAGAGCATTCAGGTCTCCAGAGGGCTTCCCTAGCGGCAAAATGGCGACTCCGTGCACAAGACAGGCATCCACTGCGAAGGCGAGGCCAGGGCCGGCACGGGATTGAGTGGGATGTGCAGGCGCAAGGCGAGGGACAGTCCGTGGGCATGGCACGCGCAGGTTGGGCCTGGTGGAATGTAATCTTCGCTTGAGACCAGTGGTGGGGTTCAGTGGCTTGGGAGGCGGGGCAAGGGGCGTGGCTAGAAAGTTGGGACCCATTAGGTATGTAGTCCTCCTGTGGCGGGGGGGGGGGGGGGGGGAGCGGGTGAGGAAGGGGGCATGGCTTTGGGGGTTGGGTCAGGCTGAATGGAGGTGTGGTTGCAGGTCTCTGAGGAGGCTTGTGGGAGACTCTGAGCCCCAGGCCTGCTATGACAGGAAGCAGAGCAGTGGACTGAGTCTAGGGCTTGGAATTTATGGATGTCTGGACTCAAATCTTCCCAGGCCTGACACCTTAGGCACACTGCTTCTCTTCTGGGAGCCTCAGTTTCCACTATTGTTATTCTCCTATTATTTCGCTTTGAAATATTGTGGTGTTTTTCCATTAAAAAAACAAACCGTTATGAAAGGCAATACTCATCTCTTGGCACTGCTGTGAAGATCCAATGAAGAGCTCTTCCCATGGTTCCTAGCATATAGCAAGTGCTCAGATACAATTGTTATTTGTGTTGTTGTCCTTTTATTACAGAGAAATGAGTGTTTTCGGTATCCATCATCTGATTTCTTTATATCTTAAAAGTATCTTTATATGGGGGCTGGGGATTTAGCTCAGCAGCATAAGCACCTGCCTTGCAAGTAGGCGGTAGTGAGTTCGATCCTGGTACCGATTTAAAAAAAAGTATCTTTACATGTTAATGTAACATATTAATAAGCATATGTAGCACTTATAGGTGTCAGGCCAGGGCCCCTTTGAGACGCTTTACATATGTTAATTCTTACAAGAGTGTGAGTTAGGAATTATCTTCATTTTCATAGGTGTGTGAGCCTACACACCAACATTAAATACCTTTTCCAATAACAAAGCAGTGGACAGAATTTTAACACAATGGACCCAACACCAACATCTCTGTTAACTAATCCATAATTAGCACAGCACCGCTGCAGTTCTGCTTTGGATTTTTCACATGAGTGAGGCATGAAATTGTGCATGGGAGGTTGCACAGGTAGCTAGTAGTAGTTTGTGTCAGGGTTCACTAGAGGATCAGATTTAATTTGTGTGTGTGTGTGTGTGTGTGTGTGTGTGTGTGTGTGTGTGTGTGACAGATAAAGATTTACAAAGGAGGCTTAGGAAGGCCATCTGCAGAGTCAGGTGGAGAAGAATGCAAAAGAGCCAGGTGCTTATTGGAGATGCAAAAGGTCAACACGTAAGTCTAAGGCCTGGAGCTCACAGCAGAGTCCTGGGAGAGTCTATGGCAGGAAGCCGAACAATCTGTGCGAGGATCCTGGAAATGACACCTAAGTTGATGGCAAGGACTCAAACTCTTCTGAAGAGGCAGAAGCCAGACTTTCTCCTTTCCCTGTTTACTGCCTCCAAGATACAGGACTGTTCGTTGCCCACCACACACAGGGAAGGTCTTCCATCTTCAATGAGTCAGTAATCTACACACAAACACAAAACTGTGATAAAACAATCACCTAGGTGTTCTTTGCTTGTTGGCTGTTAGTTTTTTGAGACAGGATTTTCTTTGGAGTTCATGCTGGCCTTGAACTCACTGTGTTGCTCAAGTTAGTCTCAAACTCAGATTTTGCTGCCTCAGCCTCCCAAGTGCTGAGTTTACAGGTATGCACCACCACACCCAGTTCCTCCTTCATTTGAATGCACTTATTCCATCATTCTTGCCATTTTCTTCTGAATCAATTCTGGAAGTCCTCTTATAAGGATCTTTAGTTTTGCTTTTGTGGCTGCCTCAAGGTCTTGAATCAGTTCAAACTATTCACCTTTCAATGACCATTTTGATTTTGGAGAAGAGTCAGAAGTCACAAGGGTTCAGATCTGGTGAATAAGGTGGATGAAGACACACCATAATGTATTTATGAACCGCTCTTCCCATTGGATGGCACTCAGCAGCAGTACTCACTATATTTTTTATCACAATTTGTAAAGACACTCGCAAAAGAGGACTTCCAAACTGCTCCAAAAATTGCAAGAACAAATGGAGAAGTGTGTTTGAAGCGAGGAGGTGTATTTTATTTAGTTTATTTTCAGAATGTGTTTCTTAAGGAGGATTAATGAGTATGTATCTCTTATTGTAGTAAATTTAAAGAATTTGAATGTGAGCTGTATATTTTCATCAGCCCTGGTACTTCTTCCTTGAGTTTATTAAGTAAACATCTGCATATTTAGTGTCATTTATACAAAATGATTGGGAAAAGAAGTGTTTTGAATTTCTGATTTTTTATTTATTGAAGAACTTGCATAGACATAATAAGTTATTTTTAGGATGGGACTCAAGTCTAAACATGAAATTTATTTATAGTTTATATATACTTCATACTCCGAGCCTGAAGATAATTTTATACAATATTTGTATTAATTCTGTGGTTAACATGTGTATTGTGTTGTTTCTCTGGTGTGGGAAACTGAAAATGTAGATAAGGACTAAAATAAAATAGATATTTGAACATTTTCTAATGAGATGGGGAATTATGGATGGAGGAGGGAGAAAGAAAGAAGGGAAATTAAAAAATGATGAGAAAAGAAGGAAACAAGCCTTCCATAAATAAGGAGGGGAAGGGAGTTGAAGGAAAGGTACAGGAAAAAAAAAAGATTCATATCATGTATGGTACAAATTTCCCACAGTTAACATGATTATTATTTACATCTAAAATGTACCAATAATCTTAATTAAATAACATTTTGTGTTTGAAACAAAATTTCTTTTTGTGGAATTTCTCAATTTGGCACTACATCAGTAGTCAAAAGTTTTGGATTTTGAAGCATTTCAGACTTCAGATTTCAGATTAGGAATTTTCAGCCTATACTTGGAAAGTGATTTGATAAATATCCCCCTACCTCAGTAGACCTTAAGCTTCATGCTGAGAGTATGACAGCAGTCTCTTTGCCTCTACTGGTGTCATAGTTTATGTCTGTGCCCCTCCCAAGCATCATACAATAATGAATGTGGCCAAATCCAGTATTTCTGATTGGTTCATTGTCTAGCACTCAGATTGGTGGTATGAGTGCTACACCTGCCCAGGAGTGGAGCCAGCATACAGTGTACCTGAGGGAAGAAGGTGTGTCTCTCTCTTTTGCTGTTCATGCTTGCTGTTTGCAGCCATGATTAACTGCTTCCCCTCAACCATGTCACTTTGTCTTGGAGCCATCTGAGTATGGACTGAAACCTCTGACCTGTAAGAAATAAACCTTTCCTTCTTGCATGTTGGGTGTCAGGTATTTTGTCTCAACAACCAATGAAAAGTAACTCACACAACTGGTAATCAGTGTTTCTCAACTCAATACCTGACACAAGAATGGAGCGCTCTTGTTGACAGAAAGAAAACCAGCAGTAGCACACAATTATAGATTTGTATCACACAGAATTTCACTACTTCCAAGGCTCTGCAGTGAAATGAGGTCTCATCAGTTTTCCTCTCTGTATGCACTAAGATTTTCATTTCTTTTGCTTTATTATAGCAAATAATGCTCCTCTATCCATGTTCCATTCTCCCTATGGTCTTAAAAATCAATTGTAAGCTGTTATACAGTCTCATGCTGGGCATGGAAGTCAGGACCTCCTGCATGCTAGGCAAGTGCTCCACCCTCAAGATACGTTGCAGTCCTCCCTTTCTTATTGCTGGACTTTAGGCCATGGGAATGTACTGCAGTTTTAGCCCCAAGCTGACTGAAGTTTTTTGACAGGACACTGTAACCAATAACTACCCAACTGAGCCCAGTAAAACCAGAAAATTGAGTGCCAATTATAAAATTTTGCAATAAGGCACTGAGTTTGAGAATGCTTTTTTATACAACAATGGCTAATGAGCAAGATAGGAGCAAGAGAGGCACTATTCACAATAACCAAGGCAAGCAATCAGTCTAGGTATGTGTCAGCAAGAGAATGGGCAAAGCAAAAATGGCATGCACATGTGCACACATGCAGGCACACACACACACCCTATTCAACCATAAAGAAAAATGAAATCCAGTCATATGCAGAAAAATACAGGGAAGTGGAGGATATCATGTTAAACAAAATAATTCAGAAAGACAAATACTGCATGTTTTCTCTCATATGTGAATACTAAAAAGTAAAGTAGAAGAGGGGCTATACAGGCCTGGGAGGAGAGTTAGCATAGAGTGAGAAGATGGGAGAGGGCTTGACAAACTTGACCAACACACAGTATATGCATATATGAAAATATCGTAATGAATCCCCTTACTCTATACAACTAGTATGCATCAATAATTATAATGTGTAAAAAGGAAAAGAGATGGAACAAATTTTAAAGCATGTGGGCAGGTACACGCTAATGCATACATTGCTTAACCCCTTGCTAATGCCATGCACCTGGGGGCTTTGCAGATAATAGGAGTGCAGTGATTGCTGGGAAAACATCGTTGGCCATATTCAAGGCTCAAACACTTGCATGTGGAACATGAATCAAGAGGCCCAAGGCTAAGAAGCTCGCTATCATTTGATAGAAGGTCCCCTCCCCCAAGTCATGTACTATAGCAAAAAGATCCCCTGCCTTCATATGGCAGGGAGGTAGCTGCCAGACACCAGGAACAAGGTCTGCATGCTGACTCTCCTATTGTAGAAATGACCTTGTACAGATCTGGTCACTTTTCCACACTTAGTTTTCTCACTTACAAATGATCACTTATGTTAGCAGCAGTATAGAGAATGGAGGTGAGAAACAGCATTTCCACGGTGTTCATGAGTTAGAGGTGGCCAGCAGAAACTGTTTTGCATCATCTTCTTCAGCCTTGCATCTCTGGCCATCAAGGATGAAGAACAAGGCTCTTGTTTCCCTAAGGAAAACAAGAGGACAATGAATTGTCCTGCAGTAGGAGTCAGCAGAGGCCGAAATCAGGTCACCATGCTTTGAAGTTTCATCATTGAATCTTCTAATTTTTTTTTCTGTTTGTCTCTCAATCATTGTTTTGGTAATTATGGTAATATTTACATATTTCAAAAAATAAACAAGGAAAAAAATTTAGAAATATTTGCTCTTTTTCTATGTTGAGAGGTAACTATATTTGGTACATTTTTTAGCCTCCCTTTTCCTGTTAACAATTGATTGTAGATGTGGTTCCAGGGTGATTAATTTAGGTTTACATCACTGTAACAGGAATCAATGAAATAGGAATTAGGATTCTACCAGGCATTAAGGGCAGCAGCCCCAAAATGGAGTCAGGAAGTCCAAAATGGAGCCTGCTGAGTTGTGACATTCCAGGGACCTTACACAAACATCTGCTGACTGTCCTGCAGTTTTTTGGGACCTGTCCAGAGCATGATCATGCAGGACATTGGCTGAAGGGTACATGGGCTGTGCATGGGCACTGTGTGAACACTTGTTGGCCTGTTTTGTGGACTCAACGAAGATTTTGTTGGGTGAGGTAACAAAATTAGAGAATGTACATGTTGAAGACATCAGCAACAGTGGTAGGCAGAGTGGAACAGAGCAGAAACCCACTGTTCATGATGTATAATTCTTACACAGGTTGTTATCTCATATTTACATTCTTGTGCAGTGCTCTAAGTTGTTTATATGAGTTCACCTGTGCTAAGTCATGGTTACATAACTGTACCCCACTGTGTGCCTGTGCAGACAAGCAGGGTCATGTCCTCAGTTTTCTTTAGATGTCCCTGAACTGTGAAGCAGTCTGAGTGGTTCCGCACAACACTACATAGATTGAACCCTGAAAAGTAGGTAGTCTTCCATAGGGTAGCTCTTTTCTAAATCCATTAACAACTTCTAGATAAAGACTCCCTCATGGGTATCCTACTCAGAACCCCCTCCTTGCTGGTGGGAATTTTACTCCCTTGCCTTTACATCTATCAAAGAGGAGGAGGATAAGGGGTAAATTGCTTGTGAAGTCCCCAAAGACAGCAGGGAGGCAGACCTCAGCACATCAGCAGCAGCAGGCAGCAGGCAGGAAGAATTGTGTCTTTATCGTCCAGCCTCTGTATATGTTGTTATGTTTACATTCTTGCATGCTGGCTTCCCAGTGGTGCCACAGGCTGATGACCAAGCCTCTACCACAAGGACCGCTGAGGGACAATTACAATTCAAAGCCTCCCACACACAAACAAGAAGCGTTTCTCATGTGTGCATCACTCAGGGGTCAACACTGGTGTCCAACTCATGTTTCCTGCACTTCCTTCCCCTCAGTGGGCCACTGCACTTCTTACAGCAGAGGAAAAATAATTTTTACTAATTATTCAATATCAACTACAAAAAATAGATGTCTAAAGAAATGGTACATGGGAAACCATGTTGAAATTCAGGTGCACCCCCTCAAGGCAGCCCCATAAAACAAATGCAGTGAAGTTTGTTGCAGAGGATTCCCAGAGTTATTTTCAGAGACAGCTCCATGATTACACAGACTCCTGAGTCACATGTGCATCTGACTGTTAGTTAACAAGGATGTTCCTGCATGAGAGGTGTTAGAGGAGTGAAGATATTCATTTGTTTTCTAAGTCTAAGGAACATCCTTTAGTTTCACCTTCAGCGGGTTTGCATACCATCCTGTAGCCATTTCCTGACTTACCTCAGAAAATCTTAGCTTTCCTGATTTTGTTTTATTGTCTTTCACAGCCCTGACTCTTAAGGTTTCTAGTGGGTAGTGACATGTGTCACTTGCATTCGTGTCTGACAACTATTCTCTCCTTGCCCAAACTCTAGTCAGGATCCTCTGGTCACCTGACAGTGTTGGAGAAGTCTCCACAAAGAGGAGATGGGGACCTCCACTCGTCCCATGCCTGGTGCAGAGGTTCCAGCCTTGTCATGGAGGAGAATTGCTATGTATCCCTATGAGAGCATCAGGTAAATTTAGTAAGCAGATTCAATGATGCAGGCACTTAGAACAGAGTGCAGGTGTCAGAGAATGAGGCCCGTTATGGGCTAGGGCTGTGCAGCTTCTGTGTTATGGGGGATAGAAATCTGTGGAATTTGTGAATCTATAGAAGGCAGGGGCTCAAGTTACAGGCAACAGGCAATGGCCCATTTTCTAGGTAAAAGGCAAAAGAAAGCCCAGTTTAAGGCCTTATTTTATCTTGAAGACAGTGGATTTTTTTTTTTCAGTGAGTTTCTTGGAAGGAAAAAAAGACATTGTAACTTTGGATACATTTGTATCCTGAAACTGGGATTTCCCAGGAACAATCTCTGGCTATACCTGGCCTTCACATTTACCAGTCCTCTGGACACATCTCAACAAACCAAATTGTGCTGTCCCAGCAGCATTCCACTGAGACATCAGGTTCTGGATTCTTTACCTTAAACACAAGGCATTTGTAAAATTTCCTCCAGAACAAACATTCATATGGCCTAGTATAACACAAAGTCCCTGGGATGACCAAAAGTTAATCTAGTTTAAGTTAATCTGTTATCCATATCTGTGTCAAATGGGACCAGCAATCCTAGTTTTTTGAGGAATCTCCACACTGATTTCCACAGTGGATGCACCAGTCTATGCCCCCACCAGCAGTGGAGAAGCTTCCTTTTTGCCCACAACACCTCTAGCATTTCTTATTGGTTGATTTCTTGACATAGACATTCTTTTCAGGGTGAGGTGGAATCTCAGTGTTGTTTTAATTTTTCACCTATATTTATTTCATATTTCTCACTGTCAGTTCATTTTTGGCTTCTGTGTTCATATCTGCATTATCCAGTTTTAGCAAGTGTCCTGCTAAGGCAGTTGGCCACAAGCCTCCATCCCTGATGTCTGATCACCCTTAACATCTGATTGGCTCCTCATCCTCCACCATCACGCAGCTCACACCTGTTCAGCCTGGCTTGCCCTCTGCAAGCATTCCATTAGGCTTTCAGGAAACAGCTCCCTTCCATCTGCTGCTCACTCTTAGTGTTGTCAGCTCCCTGACCTGACTCTGGCCTGCAGCTCTGCACCCCTAATTTTCCTAGCTGCATGTGGAGTTCTCTGTCCTCCACTGGTGAACCCCTCACAGTGGCACCTGCTTCTTTCAGCAAGGTCCCTATATTGTGAGAAACTTTTGACAACACAAATGGGGCCCAAAGTGGTGGCACAGAGGACTGTGGCAACTTCCTGAATGAACTAAGTCAAGAAAACACTGGGTGTAGCTTCTTACTGCTTCCATGGTTGGTTGTACTGTTCCCGTCCCAGGACAATTTTTGTTGAGTACAGGAGAGTGTCAGGTACAGAGTTAAGACTGCATATGTTTAGGGCATACAAAAATAACAAGTGCTCTCTGTCACACAGTGTACATCTAAAGGTTAGACAGCAGTAAAATATTTCAACATCTCTTTAAAGTTGGTCATGGTACTTAAAGTTTGATCTAAATCTACAGGAATTTATTAAATAAGCATTCTGTTATTGCATAAATAATGTATAATTGTATTGGTTAATAACTATATATATATATATGGTCGTTAATGCTCTATCCTAAATTTATTAGATTTCTACAGATGTCTGTTAAAAAATCTAAATTTTGCCTAAAGTGTAAAATCTAAGTAAATGTACACAGTCTTTACATGGCATAAAATTAATTATTGCTAACCTCATGGTATATCAAATACATTTCTTTTATCAAGGATGTAGGGTTTTATATGATATAGCATGTGAGAAAGACATCTTATCGTATTGATGACTCTAAACTACAGTAGTAGGTGAGATCTAGGGTATATAGGATAGATGGCAACCAGAGGAAGCTGATTAGGTTGATGACTTTGTCCCACTCCGTTTGTGTGCACATGCGGGTTTGGGTCAGAGAGATGCTGTTTTCACAAGGTCCCTAAAGTGATGTTTGAACAGTGACTGGGCTTGGTTGGTTGGCTGGCTTTGTCTTCTGCAAAAAGTATTAACCAACATCCCTCTCACTCAGCCCAACTAGACCAGGAGCCCTCTCTTGTCCAGCATTGTAGTTCACAGAATGGCCAGGAGGTGGCAGCGGAGCAGCGAGTCAACTTTGACAAGTTTTGTAGGAAGGCAGCAAGGAAAGTGAAGCTTTGGTAACAAGGAATAATAAAAGAAAACGTTGAATTCAATGAGATTTCATAAATGAAATGAACATTCACCTTTTATGCTCTTTTCTGGCTGCTTCTCCTCTCTTCCCCCAAGATAAATCCTATCCAGAGATTAGTTTGTCCTGTTTTTATCAGTTATACATATGCATGTTCATTTATATCCATATATGTACTCTTACAGTTTGTGTTTTTTGAGGGTCTGACTTTTTCATTTATCTTTATGTTTGCGAGATTTACACACTGACTACTTCACAAAGCCATTACATTATGACCTGCTTCATGTAGTTGTAGATGTCTTTCTTCTCATGGCTCCGTGTTTCTCACCTTCATTTGTTCCTTCTCCTGGCCAGTCTCTTCTACTCTCAGGTTGATTGCCATCTTGAACTGTATAGTGAGACTCTGTCTCAAAAAGACAAAAATCCATTAAGTCAATGAAAACACTGGGGATTGCACTTGTTACTGTGGATCATCCTCTGCTTTGGGGCCATTGTTTTCAGCTTTGAATTATATTAAATCTGATACATGAAACAGACCAACAGATGACTTGAGTATTGCATGTGTTGCTCTGAAATGAATGCAGCATGAGCCAACCTTTGACCAACTATCAGTGTGCATGCAACAGCCAAGATAACATTTATTGTGTGAAAGCATACCAAATGCAAACCTTCACTTTTCAATAAAAGGTTGTATCAGTGAAAGCTTTGTGACTGTGTTTTTCTCTCAAGCAAATTATGTCAATGGATGAGCAGTTTTTTCTAAACTAAAACATCATTTCAGTATTCAGATCTAGTTGCACTGTAGACAGTGCAATAAATAAGTGGGGTTTGGCTTGCAGTATGTGCCCTTGTTCTCTAAAAGGTTTCCCCTAACTGATCCAGGAGACCTGAAGGGTGAGGATTCCATGCCCAGGTCTCCTGTCTGGACTCTGGCACTCACTGGGGTCCCAGGCATGGACAGGGCATTCAAACAGGGTCTGATTCCTCAGCTCATGCAAGGCAGATCCCAGCCTGGACATCAGTTCATGGAAACTGTGAGAGTCAGCAACTAAGTTTGGGACACAGCCAATCAGAGTTCTGCTGAACTTGTAGGAGCAACAGCTGATTCATCCAGGTCTTTGCCCTAAAACACAGAAAGTGAAACATCCACACATTCACCCTGCAAAGGGTCAGCTTTGTGGGGCATCTGGGCTTCATTGGGGAGTGGGGAGCTGCAAGGTGTGGGTCACTAGGCTACTGGTTTACATGGTGTAGAAGGGGACAGTCTCTAAAGAGTTCACATCACAGCAGAACTGACCCTAAATTGGGTGTGGCTTGGATCCAGTCCCTCTTTGTTCCTACTGCCTCATGTGCCACACAAACCCATTAGGTGGAGTGTATTCTGAGGCTCCCCAGACCAAGGATCAGGGACAGCAGCTTGATTAAATTCTGTGACTGCTCCCTGTCCCAGAGGATCTCAGTGAGAAACCAAAGCCACATGTCCTGTTGATGGGGTTGTAAAATGGACTGACTGTTGTAGGGAACAACATAGCCATCCTCTCCAAATTCTATTGAATCGTTCTATGATTCAACAATTCTAAATATGTTTATACAGCTTAACGGAAATCAGGAGCTCAAGCAGATATATGCATTTCCATGTTCACAATAGGATTATTCCTAAGAGCCAAAACATGGGGAAAAAAACCCCAAATGGTGGATGAACAAAAGGTGCTATGTATATAACCTGCAATAGTACGTTAAGGGAAATAAAACAGAGAGAAAAGGAAATGTTATATGATTCCAAATATGTGATGGTCCAGAAGAGTCTATTTCATGGAGACAGACAGTATAATGGTATTTCTAGGAGTTGAAGGTAGTGAAATGATGCTATTTTGGGAGGATTCACAGTTTCTGCCCAGAAACAGAGTTTTGGAGCAGGACAGTGCTGATAATTGCACAAGGTAAATGTTCTTAACTCACTGACAAAATTAGTGGATTTTGTGTTGTACATATTTTAACATATTTTCAATAGCAGATAGGAGATGATAAATTGGACAGAAGAGATGAGTGGATTCAGGGACAATTTTTTGAAACCCCTACACATTTTGAGAAGTAATACTCTCCCAGGTCCTGATCATAACACACACCCCATATATCACTCAAAAGACAGAACTTACAGTTAAAACTTCCCGTCTCCTGACTGTGCACATCAGAGTCTTCACCGACACTCAGTAACATGTCTCTGATGGCTTCATTCTAAGCAGAGGGAGGAAAAGAAGCATTTGCGAAAGATCTCCATGACCAGTGATGTCCTCAGGAGGCTCCTACTCTATAAGTCTGTAGTGGGGTTAGGACCACTCCTTATCTGCTCTTCTTTCTTTATTAAGACAACATTCAATCTAAAATTCAGCATCTGTCCTGGAGCAAACAGCTCAGAGGCAATTCATGCACTCAGACCTGTGAGACCCTCACCATGCCTGGTAAAGAATACCTTCACCATCTCAGGTGGTAACCTAGGTTCATTAAACTGTCATTCTCCATTCTGCACGCTCAGCCATGAACCACTATTATGCTTCCTAAGGATTTTCCTGTTATGGATATTTATACAAATGGAAGCATAAAAATAATTAAACATTTACATTTGACAAAAAATTAATTTTATTAGTCACAAGAGTTCTAAATCATGAAGAAGACATGTAACAGTATGTTTGTACACAGCTCAGTATTTAAATGCATAAAAAAATTGAAAACAATTCCCACATCTGACATTAAAGTAAGTGTGAAATTATGGTAAATTCTACAAAATCTGTGTAGGTTGAAGCACCTATGTAAACATAAAAACAATTGTCTTGGTCAAGGTTTCCCATTAGTAGAACACAGAATCCAAGACACACAACTTGGAAGAGGAGATGTTTAATCTAGCTTATGGTTTCAGTGAAGTCAGTCCTGCCTGGTTTTAACATATTTTAGACAATAGATAGGATATGATAAAGAGGACAGAAGAGATGAGTGGATTCAGGGACATTTCTGTGACTCTCTGTTGACTTTTTGATAAGTAGTGTGCTCCCGGGTCCTGATCATAACACACATCCCATATATCACTCAAAGGACAAAATTTCAGTTGAAGCCTCCAGTGTCCTGACCGTGCACACTTGTTTTTTTCACCTACAGTCAGTAACACATCTCTGAGCCCTTCATTCTGGGCAGAGGAGGGAGGAGAAGAAGCATTTGGGAAATGTTTCCATGAACAGTTCTGTCCTCAGGGGGCTCCCACTCTACAGGTCTGTAGTCAGGGGTAGGGAGACTCCTCATCTGTGGTTCTTTCTTTATTAAGGTAAAAGTCAATCTAAAATTCAGCATCTGTCCTGGAGCACACAGCTTAGTGGCATTTCATGCACTCAGGGCTGTGAGACCCTCACCATGCCTGTTAAAGAACACTTCCGCCATCACCAGTGGTAACCTAGGTTCATTAAACTGTCATTCTCCATTGTCCACACTCAGTCACAGACCACTACCATGCTTTCTAAGGTTTTCCTCTTCTGGGTATTTATATAAATGGTATTACAAAAATAAATAAACACTTACATTTTAGAATAATACAGTTCCATTAGTCACAAAATCTCTAAATCAGGAAAGAATGCATTTAACAGCATATTTGTGAACATCTCATTTAAAAGGGTAAAAAAAATTGAAAACAATTCCAACATCTGACCAGAAAGTAAGGGTGAAATTATCGTAAATTCTATAAAAGCTGTGTAGGTTGAAGCATATATGTAAACATAAAAGCAATTGTCTCGGTCAAGCTTTCCCATTAATAGGACACAGAATCCAAGACCCACAGATGAGAAGAGGAGAAGTTTAATCTGGCTTATGGTTTCAGGGGAGTCAGTCCTGCCTGGTTCCAAGGCAGGGACACCACAGCAAGAGGGTTTGATGGAGCAAAGCTGCACAGTTCATGGTGGCCAGGAAACAGAGTGGAGGCACAGTGCCAGGGAGGAAGGGGCCAGAGACCAGATGGAGTACCTATAATCATTCCTCCATGACCCATACAGATGAGCTCAGAAGTACACTTTACTAATCCCTTGGACAGCTCTCAAGCCCATGAAGGTGACCATGAATAGTAATCATCACATAGCAGAACTTTTGTGATACTAAAATTGTATGTGATTTACATATATGCATATATACAGTATTTTGAGGTTATTTCCACCTTTAAAATTCTAACCAAAGTCAAAAAATGGTGAATTTTGTGTAAAAGAAATAAACTTTCCTTAGGTAAATTTTATAAAATCAACCCAAAAATACTGGAAAACATAAGAGCAGGGTTTAAAAATACTCACAGGAAGAGCCGGAAATCTTAATTCTGTTTTGAAGAACTACTCTGAAAGACAGTTAAACATTTAAGGCATGAAATATTCAACTTCACACTAAGTATCTTCCCCAGGGAAATGAGTGCTGCAGCTATACAAACACAAGAATGACTGCAGCAAACTTATTTTTAAGACTAAAACTGGAAACAATACACAAGGCCTCAGCTGATGGATGCATGAGGATTTGTGGTTCATTCACACAGTGGGATGTGATGGCTCGGCCACTGAGAGAGATCAGCACATGGGAAACCTCACGTGGTTATGAGGATTGAAAAAACTCTATTAGCCCCCCCCAAACAAAAACAAAAACACTCTATATAGTGGGTGGTCACAGACCTGTCACCTCTAGAAAATACAAAGTGATTCCCAGAGACAAAAAGCAGGTGCATTGCTTAGGATAGAAGGAAGCAATTGTATGGAGCCATAAGGAAAATTTGGACATGACTTATGAACGTATGAGAAGATGGTGCACTTGTCCCAGATGCTTCAGAAAGCTAACCTGGAAACACCCAACCATCATGGGCAGCTCAGGCCTGGACTCACCAGCCCCATGCCAGAGGCTCCCAGAGATAAGAGGTAGCCCAGGACAGTTATCCCTAGGCTCAATCACCAGCCACTCACAGACACTGAGTCCAGGAAAAGTTCAGATACTGGGAAGGTAAGTTCTTACCTGAGCAGTCCTTTGGAACTTGGCCACCTGTGCATTCAAGTCGTGGCCATGAGCAAGCAGCTGAGCCTCAGTTTACAACATTGAAAGAGGGGTGCTGAGTGGATGCAGAGTGAAGGGTAACTGAGGAGGAAATGGGAGCTCCTTGGCAAGGGGACAGCTGTGGCCTTAACCCCATGAAGCCCAGAGGCTATGCTGATTCCCAGGGATGATCTTTCACCCCCTTCACACTGACCCACACTTGCAGAAAGCTGTCCTATTCATTGGAAAGGAGATTGGAGATCGGGGTGTGCTCAGGACAGGAATTCTTGGGGATGGCAAAGTGTCCATGGCCCACAGGTATCATTGGAAAGTAGGTCGATGTCATCAAGCCACAAATACACATGAATACACCCTGTGTGAACACAGTTTTTCAGGTATTGTCCATGGTTCTGTAAGCAGAACAGGTACAAACACTGCCCTTTTGAGTTTTGATGTTCTTTGGAGATCACAAAGTCAGCATGGCAGTAGAACAGACATTGTTCACCTCAAAGTAGTTTTTTGGGTCCCAGGCCTCCCTAGATGTGGGTACAGACCATGCAGGAGGAGTTGTACAGAGGCAAAGAGAACTAGGCAAGGCATGTTTGACTGACCTAGACACTGCAGAAAAGCAGTACAGACACTGATGACCCCTCACTTCTCAGATATTCATGGAGCACCAGCCGTGAGTCCTTGAGTACAAAAACATGGCAGATATCAGTCTTTGCCTTTGCTGAGTTGACCTGCAGTGGGGAAGGACAGGGAGACACTGTGTCAGGCTTCCCTGAGGAAGGGAGTGGTGTCATACCACTAAGCAAGGACTGCCTCCTATGGAGCATTCTGTCAGCCTCTCAGGGCTCCCAAGGCCCACAGTGCCACACTGTAGTTGGGAGACAGTGGGAGCGGATCCTGCACTTGCTGGGCTAGAGGTCCAGGTGCCCTCCCTAAGGTTACTTATGTAGGTAGTGTGTGAAGAGAGGCAAGATCCCTCACTCTGCTCCCTCCCTGTCTGTCCCAGGTCCACATCTCCTGCCCTTGACTCCTCACTGGAGCTGAACTCCAAGGTGGTTCCCCAGGCCAAGCTTCTCAAGGACCACCTGGAGCCTCCTATGACCCTGGAGCCTAAGTCACAGGGTAAGGAGCCCTGGGATGTGGGCTGTGGCCTTTAGGGTAGTGAATGTGCTAGGGAACTCAGCAATGTGTCCAGATGATGAGAGACCCAGGAACATGAGCCCCTCAGCAGTCATTTTGGGGATGCAGTCTGGGAGGCTTTACTGGGGCTGTGTTCATGCACACAGCTGCCTCCGAGAAGCAGTGGTAAGGTTTGTTCCTGAGAGGTCCCTGGAATGTCAGTGATGATTTCTCCTCCTGCAACTGCAGAAGCAATTCCAGTGCATGCTGAATTTGCACCCGCATAGCTCCTGCCAGCTCGACCTGCAGCTCCCTCACCAGCTCTGGCCCCACAGCAAGAGCCAGCACCTGGATTCAGTTCTCCACCAGCTGCAGATCTGGACCTCCTGGTGGCTCCCCAACATGAGTCATCTCTTGAGTTCTACCTGCAGGGAACCCTTGACCCACACCTGCCAGTCCCCTCTCTTACAGATTGACTTATCAGTGTATTCATTGTTACCCTTATTTCCCAGAGGTATGGCAGTGATTGGACTAATATAAATAAAGTTTAAGATTTCAGTCATGTTTAAAATAATTAGCCTGGTAGCATTCTGTATTCTCAATGTTTTGCAAATTTCATCATTGTCCACTTCCAGAACATTTTCCTCAATTTTGTACAGAAATGTGTTTTCTTCTTTTCACCATCCTGCTCCATCCCAGCCACCATTCATCTTATGTTCTCATAATTTACCTCTGCTACATTTCCCACATCAATGCCATCAAGTTTCTCTTCAGCCAGAGGGTGCTGGATGTGACTTTTTAATGTTGCTTTTTAGTGAGAAGGCAGAATCTTAATCTAATGTCCTTGGTTAGTCAATCACAGGTTCAGTAAATTATCCAGTATCTTTTCTGGGTCAACAAATACATATAGTGGTTAAATACACAATGCAATATGAGTGAATAATATAGGACATAGTGGCTGTTGTTCCATCCAGGAAGAGTGGCCTCCCTCCTAGGTGCTCTTCTTTCGGTCTCATTTTACGGTCAGCCTGACTGTTTTAACTGTTGGGTGGGAGTGTGTCTCAGGGGACAGCTCCTCACGGATTGCATCTAGGATGTGGAGACAGAGTCCTGTCAGGCTCTATCCCATAGGAAGCAACCACCTTTGTAAATCTCATTTTGTGTGTTAGATTCTTAGCAGTGGAATTTTTCAGTCACGGTCATAGAACCTTGGGTAGGACCAGTTACTATCCATGGTCTGCATATACAGTGTCAATGCACAGAGCTTCATGGTGACCTCTGGCAAATGCAGATCTACAAGCTGTGGTGTTCCCATGGGGACACTGCATCCCCATGACATCTCAGCAGACAGCACAACAGCATGACATGGCCTCACCTCTGCTTCTTGATGATGGATGAACATTGCCTACAACTTGACTCACTTTCTCTTACAAATTACTGAATCTCAGACCATTTTGGACAGTCATGGCTTAAGGGTCCTAGGGGAATTTTGTTCCATATTGCCCCAAGGAAGTTGTAGAATCCTCTTGATTGAGCTTCTTCACAAGGTAATAAGTTTTGTATTTATATAGGAGGGTTGAACTGAGGGCCTTCCCACAGAGCAACATCCCCAGCCCCTTTTAGTTTTTGAAATTTAAATTTGACACCGAGTCTCACTGTGCAGCTAAGTTGTTTAGTGTAGATTCAAATATGTGACCCTCTTGCCCTAGTCTGGTAGAGCATGGGGATTACAGAGACTCAAACCTCAACTGATTTCACTAGGCATTTTTTAAAAACCAACTTCAACTCTACTGCTATAGTCTGGCTGACCAGCTTTAAAACATGGTTGATTGCTATTTCTCTCCAGGCTGTACCCAGGGGTCATTCTATGAGATGTCAATAACTTTTTGCACTTGAGGCTAAAATACCAATACATACAAGCAATTACACTGCTTAGGGAACTAAGGACGGCCAAAACTGATGAACTTCTGTCTCCTCAGGATGCCACCAGGGAAACATGTCCAGAGGTGAGTGTCATTTCCACGACCAGGCAGGAGTAACCAGCCCAGCATGCACTGTATTCACCCCTATTCCAACCCTTCCTGGATTTCTCCTCCATTTCTATAAACTATGTACCTGGGATAGCAGCTGCCAATTTTCACAAATGTCATCTCACACCTCTGATGATGCCCCTAGGAAGCAGATGACAGTATGATCTCCAGAGTGCATGATGTCTTACCTAGGTATACACAGGAAGTCAGAAGGAGGAGTTAGGTCTAAATGCAGGTCTTTCTCCAAAGAAGTGGCACCCTGGCGAGACTGCTGTTTTTTCTTTCCTATGCAGAAGCTTTGCCTCCTGCCAAGCAGCCCTTGCCTCAGTGAAGCTGTTCCCTTCACTGTGAAGGACACCAGAGAGTCATTCCATGGGCTTCTATGGTATGCAAAGCAGTAATCTCTGGGGGATATCAGAGGACTCAGGTCCACACAGACATCATGGAAGGAGCTGGAGGGTGCTTTAAATCATGAGTGTACCAGGCACTGACCATGAAGTAATGCCAAGAGCAGATGCAACCATTGCTCTCCTGTGCTTTCATTTTGTCCAGGCACACAATAAACTTGGACCAAATACTACTAATATTATAGACTACGTTCCTGGCCTCTGTACATGGGGACACAAAATAGAGGAGGGAAGTCATGGGAAGCCACACAGAATGGAGTGATGCATCACTATATGAACTGAAGATGAACAAAAGGCAGGCAGGACACACTGCATCAGATCACTTCTCAGATAGTTAGAGAGCAGCACCCTGTAGAGTATCCATGAGTAGAGTAACACGGAAGACACCACTCTCTTTCTCACAGAGACAACATGCCATGAGGTCGGGAAAGGGAGATGCATTTCAGGGTTCCTGAAGAATGGAGGACAGGTGGTCACAGCACTGTCCAGGGACTTCCATTAGCATGTGAAGGCTGCCTGGGTCAGCATTGCCCCATTCATGGCACAGTGATGGCTGGGGCTGGGCTCTCTGTAGCTGGAGCAAGAGGCTGGTGTCCAGCTCCACAGGATGCCTTGGGAGGGCAGTTTGGGAGGGAGGCTGGACCTGTACTGCTGTTTACAATTGTCCTCCCTAGGACCAGTGCTTCCTTTACTGACTCGTGGAAGGTGCTGCTTACCAAGTTGGGACACCCAGTCCAAACTAACCTGGGTCTTTTGGGACAACCTGAACTCACTGAAGATGAGAACTACAGTGAGCAAGGTTTGGCCTTGTTGTATTATTCTCTGGGGAGGGCATGTGTAACTTTACATGGAGAAAGACTCTCAATTTGGGGCCTTCTGCAACAATGAGGCATGCACAAGTGAGTGGGACAAGGCAGAACAGGAAGCTATGCTGGGGTGGATTTGTGCACAGAATTGTCTTTGAGAGGCCTTGGGAGGCTTTGGGGCCTGCGAGGATCAAGGACAGTTGGTGATTTTTCTCCCTTCTCTGAGGCAGGGCTGCTACCTGACTGAGGTCAAGTGCTACCTGCTGAGCTTGTGCGAGCTCCACCTCCAGTGAACTCACCAGCTCTGGGATCAATGTGAAGGCTATGCCCAGGTCAGTACCAGGACTTCATGAATTTCAGAGCTAGGGCTGTTGCTGACACCATGGTAGACATCCTGAGCTCTGCATAGGGCCAAGTCCTGCAAAGTATTGCCTTTCCCTTCCCTCCCCTTGTACCCCTTGTATTTCTTTCAGTTTGCATTTCTACTCTTATGTAAATCTTCTAAACATTACATTCTAAGTTGATTTAAATTAACAGGTAAGATTTTATTAGTTTCAACATGTTCAACTCAGTAGCCCTATCATAAGCGCATTTCCAAATTGTACAATATTCACATCTGTCGAGTTACCATACTCATAAGTGAAATAAATCAGTCTCGCATGTGTGAATACCGAATAGTTTCCCTAATGTAAGTAATGATTCAAATATATTAAAAAATGTGGTAATCATGATTCCCCATTATGTGGCCTTGAAGCCTTATAAAGTTTTCACTTATTAATTGGAAAGGCTTTATTCTGGGCTTCTTGATATGGAAATATTTGAAGCTATAGTATATGAAGTTTTATTCAAATATTTCAAGGAAAAAGACAGACACTATGGTAACTACTATTAAGTCGGGTTATTTGTTGGTGAAGCACTAGGTTGCTGAAACAGTCATGCTTTGACCAGTATTGCTATATTGTTATGTCCTCTTTTATCTCAATCTCTCCCTTATTCATTAAAATAAATATTTAGTTATTTTTATGGTTTTTTTAATTAAGGAAAAGATTTAAAAATTAGCAGGATATATAATAGTAACTTTTTTGATTTCCTATTAACTTGTTTTGAAGTCTTGTAATACTCCCACTATCTTGTTTTGACTGATTAGACTCTGTTCCATTCTGTATGATAGTATCAAGTTTGAGGGTATAGGCAACTATTTTGAAGGCTATAAGATTCACTAAGATGCCCATTCTGGTTTGACTATTGTCTCCTTTGGAAGTCCTGTAATGTTTACAATGCCTAAGTTTTATTGGTCTTGTCTACTGTTTTATTCAACTTTATAATATCTAATTAGATAGAGAATTCTTTTTAAGGAAACAAGAGACAT